TGGAAATGAAGAAACGGATCAGATCCATGATTGATCTTTTCTGCAAGCTAGACAACTTCGAAGCACAGTAAATACTACTAAATCTTTCTAAATCCAAATAATTATGCCATGTTCTAGAGTCTTCGCTGAAATTGTTTCTCGATCGTCGAGCCATCGGCGGATTTTGCGGGAAATGCTCCAAATCATATCTAGACAAGCAGCTGCTGAATTGCAGGCAAAAATCCAACGGATCTGTAGTACACATCATGATCCCGCAGGAGTAAGGACCGAACCGTGAAAGCATCTATTCTTCATCCCTCTATATTATTTCCAGTTCTCGATCGCACTGAAACATTTTGCAAACTTGCTATCAACTGACCAGAGATGTTTCGAGTGTGCTGAATATCTTGTTGCTAATGAGTACACAACTTCAAAAATTGAAGAGACATGCGTAAGTTCAGTATTTTTGAAGAGAAAGAATACATCTATAGTATTCGTAATTGACTTTCTTAAATTTATGTTCCTGCTAAGTTTTAACATCAAGCTGCACATTATCATCATCTTTATATTTAGAAAGAACTTGTGCAACGAGCAGCGGAGACAACATCGATACCAAAAGATTGCCAAACAAATATTCGGCGGTATTGTGAAAGGGTTTCACCTATAATAATGGATTTGGATGGTGCGGTTGTGAGTTCGATTCTCAAAATTCTTGCAAAAGTAAATTTTGTCATGCTAGTTTTTGCTTATTCAGGAGTTGCTGAACGTAGTGATACGTATCAGAAACGATGCTGATTGTGGAAATATTGAAGCTACCTCGAAGATACCGCATGTTCTGCGGCTACTCAAGGTATGTTTCTTGGTAAAGAAAAACGAGCAAAAGTCAAATGAAAAGCTACGGAAATTTTTTCAAATCACACTTTTGTGCTTCTGGAACTCTTCTCATTCATACTCTAAGTTGTTTGTGCAGACCATTCAAGTAACAAATTCTCACAAAAATTCCTGTCATTTTTTCTTCAAAAATGTGGTTGTTCTGTGCCGAAGTTTTTAGTGAAAAAAATACTCAGCCAACTTGTAACTGTTATTCGGATAATCGGTAGTTGCTGTCCTTAACTAAAAACATTTTACAGATCTGGAGCGAGGCCTTTCCCCATCTGTTCTCCAGAGATGATGCCATCGATAATGTATTAAAACTTGTTGTTTCAGATGATCCGAAGACAGGTAATTATTTTCTGATTCTTTCATTAAAGGCTGACAATGAGTTGCTCTATTTTATTCTTACAGCGGAAACAGGTTTACAAGTACTCCTTCACGTGGTTCTTCAGTCCAGTTTGAAGGCGAAGGAGCAAAGCTGGTGTGAAAAAGCTGTTTCGGTAAGCATTTCAATGGATCGTTTGTACACCCTCACATAGGGGTGATTGCATTTCTTACAAAAATAAATTTCAATAGGTTGTTTGGAACGTCATCTCCAGTGAGAGCGAAGGGTTTGGTCGTTGCTGCAAACTGGCAGCGCGTGTGATTTGTCGCTTGCTCGGCAAAGAAGAATCTACGAAGCGATTCGATGAGCTGTACCCTGTAAATCTTTACGATTGTTTCACTAAACACCGATTATATGTTTGTGTTTCTGTTGACACACATTTCAGTGTTTTTTCGCTGTAATTTTCCGTCAATAACGTTATTCAAGGTGATAGAAGAGCACGTTTCGAATATGAACCCGACAGCCTGTGTGAACGCACTACAAGTCATCTCTGAACTCCATCGTGATCTACCGCAAATATTTGGTCCGCGAGTCAAGAGCCTAATCACAGAATTCGTTGTGC